ATCGTAAAGCGGCCGTAACGCAGTTTGTGGAATTGTTTTATGCAAAATGTTTAGAAGTGAAATTAAAAACGTCTTTGGCGGTCGAATGTTTTTTAAATGCGAAATTGATGAATGTTTGAAACGGCATCCATTCTCATTTTATTAGTTAGCTGATATTTACAATGAGAATTGATTTTAAATGATGAGACGCTTGCTTGTTTAATACATAACCTATTTAAAAATTATAACAGCGACTCCGGTTCCTTTAAGGTTATATAACGTCCTGTGTAATTTCAAGCTGGTAATGATTTACCACCAGTTGTAATTTTCCACTGCAACGATCTCGGTGTACGGTTCCACGGCAGCGGCAGATCGTATTTTATCCTCGACGTGGGTGCGAGTAGGGTGACCACACGGTAAAAAGATGTGCATATGATTAAAAAGTAGTCTGCACGGTTGGCTAAACAGTTTTGTGAACACCTTGCTAATCATTTTTGTGCTGGGTTTAAATGTACGAGTTAACTCCTCGGTATGAGTGCAGTAAATTCATGTTGTAATGTAATACTGTTATTAATATTTATATAATACTCTTATTAGCGTAGGTAATTAATTTCAATAAATTTTGAAATATAATATGTCGATATAATTATTTTAAACATCTTTGAAGAACATTTTGACAATAGGTAATCTATATCTGTGTACTTAATACAGATATAGATTGCGAACTAATGACACTAAATTTTTTACTATGTTAAATATGATATATGAGTATAGTATGATAATTTACTAATATTAGGCAATATTTCGGCAAATAAACATTTAACTGTTGAGTATAATAAATAAAGCATGTGTTATTGAAATTTTTTTAGGGTACGCATTTAAATATGTATGTGTGTTTCCGGCTGTAAAAGAAAATAGTGTTAAACATAATACCATTAATATAATATATTTTTAACGTAAAATGTTTGTTTGTAATATCGCTGCCAAAGCACCAGCTCTTGTCACTCATTTGTATGGCATGATGCGGCCTGGATAAATACGCTATATTTAATGTATGTTCACTATGATTTTACAAATAAAGACTACCTATACATCTGTAATAGACGAGAGTAATGACGGTATAATTTTTTTAGGCTTATCCGTTGTTTTCTTTTCGAGTGGACAGCCTACGCAAGGTCAAGTCGCATCGTAAGTCAACTCATTCATAACCGCAACGGAATAATCATTTTGTATATACCGTTATGCAAGGGTTAAATCGTTACGAATTGGCTGGGATAAATAACTTTGCTATCGTCAATTAATAACAGGAAGATCTCATCGCATTTGGTATAGGTTATGTCTAGTACATTAACTATATTATTTTAAGGCATGGTATAGTATACTAAATAGTATGGCTATATTTAAGTTTTACTATCTATATTTTCGGAAAAAGCGTGAATGTGCTGACAAATCGTATGTGCATTATTGGGATTAAATATTTTTTTAAATTGATTCTAATTTGTTGAATCAGAATTTCCAGATAATTTAGGAATGCTAATAAATTGTCATAGTGATTAACAATATCAATGTCACGTCGAGTTATCAGAAAATGACTTGTCAGTTTATAAATTACTGTACGGGTTTTTATTTCGCGGTAATACTGGTGCATATCCCATATTACTGCATATAAATACGTATTCAGATGACGACTTACCTCAGCTTTACTTTCGTCATAGTGTCTCTGTAAAGCACATTATAAATGCTGTACACGTCACAACAAGGGAGCGGCTACATCTCAGATCGCGCCGCCGCTGATGCGTCCATTTGTCGTGTTTTTTTTTTTAGATTCACCTTTTCCGCCGTTCTTTATTACGTTGTTTGTATAATAGCGACTTGAAAAACGATTTATATTGCCACTGCAACGAGCGGTTTTTGGAAAGTTTTAGTGCGTTAAATTCCAGCTTGGGTGGTTTTTAGCTTGGCTGTAGCTTTAGCCAAGATATAGCTTATTTTATCTTTATTTTTTTATGGAAAAAAGTGGTAAACATGTATTCCTATGAATATGTTACTATGGCGCCGCCGACAAAAGACTTTTATGGTGATGTCCGAACTGAGCCTGCGTTATTGTCTTACTGAAAAGAGTCCCCCATGCTAACGACTTAGTACTGTCAACCCGATGTTGTTATACCAAAATAATAGTGAACTTCATTCAACGTATTAACGCCCGGTTTCTGAAACACTGATCATTGTAGATGTTAACTGATCAGCTGTCAAATGTCTTTTCAAATATCCTTTGAGTTGCCAAAAGGATGGTTAAACTCTTTGAATTGATCATTCAGATCTTTAAGAAGGTCATTCAGATGAATTCAGAAAGTTTATCCATCCTTTTGGCAACTTAAATATGCTTAAATAATCTACGATATGACGCTCTGTATCTACTTATTTTTTGTGACGCTCTGCAGCCTAAACCTGTGGACGGATTTCAACGTAGTTGAAAAAATGTTTGTCATTAGATGCATCTCATTAGTGCGATCGACATATGGTATTATATTTGAATATTATATCCGTGAAAAACAAAAGACAAATCACTAAAAAAAGATTAATTATTTTAAGCGATAGTTGCAACTTTAAACAAATTCTTTACAAGTACATATTACTTGGTATAAATCAATCAGGGCGGAGGTGGAATCAGAGGTGGTTGAAATAAGGCAAATATAAGATTAAAGAACCTTTTGTTTACTCCTTACTGTAGATTTCGTTTGTGTCAGTTACTGCATGGATATGACATCTGTAGGGTATGTACAATGAAATTTGAAGAATTATAATTCAGTCTTAATGTTTCCATTGGTGAGTGATCGGTTAATTTTCCTCTCAAAAGTTGCAGCTAGCTTCTCAGTTCCACTTCGCATGAGATAGGATCGTCAGAAAATTTATTAGCGAGTTAATAACGAAATTATTGTAAGCGAGATCGATATAAATAAAACATGTTAGGGGATGGGATTGGCTCCTGAAATACAGGATATCCTAGTTCGGGAGTCAAGGCGCCATTAAATGTGTAACTAAGTGTTCAATAAATCACATTTATTATTATCACATTTATTATTATGTATTTATACATGTTGGATAGATTGATGTTTTTCAATCTGCGAACGATGCAACAAATACGCTATCAGTAAAACACCGACGAGTAAGACGCGTTCTGAATTATACATAAACGGAGTGTTCAGATGAGCGACGCAAAGAGGTCGCACGTCCTCGTCGACCTCTTTCCTCATCCTTCGGTGAAATGCGGATTCGCTTGCGAAAGTTGCCATTAGAAAGGGTCGCAAAACAATAACACAACAAGTTGCGAAATAATTATGTATTTGAAAAGGAGAACAAACAGGAGGGTGTGGGTTTACAACTGATTACAACATGTCGTCGATATAATATAAGGCCCAGAATTAAAAAAAATGCAACGCACCTAACTACGGTGGTAGGACCACGCAGCAGCCTCGGCCGTTGCACGAATGGGCAGCCTCGTAAGTCGTATGGTAAGCACACGACCTCACAGAAGACCGGCGTAAAGTGGAAATATAATACTTTCGCGTTTCGTCTAGTGATTGAGTTGGCCGGAGCCCAATTTTCGGAGGTTGTCAACGCATCTGGAACTCTCGGGTGTAGCAGATGTCCATGGGCGTCTTTAAATGTATTCACTTAACATCGTCTGCTCGCTTGGCAACTTTTCACATAAAAAAACTTACGCTCGACTGTCGACTCTTGTCGACTGTAGATTGTTAGTGTTAATTTATTCAAAGATGGTAAAATTATTACCTTAAACTCTACTTATTTACTAATCTAATACTTTAAAAAACTAAGTAAAGGGCGACATCATCACAGGGCGGCTTGTCAGATTCACATAATATTATAAATAATAATTTCTATTTTTTTTTAGATACTAAGCGTTTTACTGTTTTTCTTCATCGCAATGTACGCGAAATTACGAAAACTCGGTGCCTGCACCGTGGTTCCAAATCCGGCTAATCTGCAAGACATTATCTAGTTCATCTAAAAGCGAGCATTGCGCCGAGTCATGGCAAAATAAAAATAACAAATAACCGATGAAATTATAAATTCAGTCATTATCTGATCCCGCAACATTCCATTCGACCGGAAACATTTCATCTCTCGCAGATTCCCAGCGAGAGAGTTACAAGATTACCTCACTTTGTTAATCGAGTCACCTGTTGCAAAAAAAGTCGCATGAACAAAATACACCAGTTATCGGCCGAGGAGGCGGTGGCTCATAAATAATATAAATAAATATCGACGACCGCAGCATCGCGGGAGATGCCGCGTAATACCCCATCCTTTAATCGCCGGGCCACGTCGATTTCTCGCCACTCTAAATGATGGCTCCCGATGCCGAGATTAATTTTACCGCCCCAAGCGATTAGCGGTAGAGGTCGTGTGTTTATCTCCTAATTCGTAATTTTTTTTTTAATGAAATAAATTGTCAATTAAGTTCCCAAAATAGTACCTCGTATATATTATGTATTAAAGGTGTTCAACCTAACACTATAACTTCAATAATTCTTTATCAAATTTAATGAATCTAACATTATATGTTTATGTCTTCCGCTTTCGATGAAAAATAGCCAAGTACAATAACAAAACATCAGGTTTCCATAATTTAAAAATTTCTTTTATGAATTAACATTATAAAGTATGTATAATGATGACATGATGGTAAGATTTTAAATATTTTTAATTTATTTTGGTAAATTTCTACTTTATAGATTGTGGTTGTAGAAAAATTTCTAAACTAAACTCGAACGACGACTGACTGGCTTAAATTGCTGGTAAAATAATGATTAATGCATAAACATTATAATATTTTTTCTAACTTTCATGGCTATCGCAAAGTGTATTACTTTAAAGTTAGATCTGTACAGACTACGCGTTGATCAATTCACCTTTTGAAATTCTCGCTGCATCCTCATTATCAGACTATGGCGTCGACTGTTGGACATAGTTCCCTATCAAGGCACGTGGTTTAGTTAGATTTTGGGCGCCTCTGCGGACATTATATTGTTACCAGCTAAGCACAGAGCAATACGCATCCAGATGCAACCAGTCGCTGGGAGCTCATGATTTGCGCCAGCTTCCCCACATTCTTCGCAGTCGGCAGTCACGCGATCTGTTCTAGCCGGTGAAGAAGGTATGCGACTGATCTGCCGATATTGCACTGCCAAGACGTCTTGCACAGATAAAAGATTGCCCTTGCATTTTTTTGCTTTAATTATGAATAATGATGATAATACTGGCCGGGAGGAATAATGTCGTCGAAATAAAAACTTATGCAGTTGTAAGCATTGATACGATTGATTCTTTGAACACTGCTGGTAGTAATTATAAAATGAAGTGTTCATCATAAGGAATAATAGAAATAAAAGCAATTGAATTGAATGTAAACGATGTTTAAGATCAAGCGATAAGTTACTGGTGGTCCAGTAACTTACGGCGGAACTAATTTATTGGAAAATCAATAAAATCACAGACTACGACGCCTCTTCCTCCTAAATTAGGAGAAAGGCAGGAACAGACCGTTTGCATTCAGCGAAACCCACTAATATTTGTATGAGGTAACACCGGATTTATCTAAAAGACGTTATCGCATCTTATATAACCGGAACTAAGTCAAGCGAATAAACTTTGGAATTCGCGAGACGACCAATTTAGCTTCCATAATTTATGCTGATGATTTTTTTAAACAAAATTTGTTTCAAGAACCTAGCTGCGTTACGAATTTTATGGTTAGACTGGTCCATGATGTAATCAGGTTTGTGATTTCAAGTAAAAATTGTTGATGTAACGAATAAAAAGCAGTTTAATGTGTGCACATACAAAATGTTGATTCGCAATTCAAATAGAACAACAGTTATAAATAATATCTTAGTAGCTAAAATTATAAGGATGCTAAATCGTATACGGAGTTAAACGTAACGGATTTGAACAGAGAAAGATGGAGGGTTTTGCACAACTGAACTGACAGGGATGCTGTACTGACAAAATCCCAGCTCTGAAATTAAAGAAGAAGCTATAATTTAGTCAAATAGCTCAGGAAGAAATGCATTCAAAACATTCATGTTAGGAAGTCGTTAAATATATTAATCCTTTTATATCGTTTCTTTCCATCTTTGTTTTGTTTTTATTTTTATCTTTTTTATCTTTGTAACAGCTTCGTATTCCGTAAACGTTCGTATTTAAAGTACCAGTACCTTGTGTACCAAGTACCTTGATAAATATAGGAGAGAAACGGTGCGAACTTTTCAACCACTTTGTAACACATAGCGGTTGGGGACAATCGCGTGCATAACGGTTACACGTTTGCATTGTTGAGTTATCGCTGCTCAACTTGACGACGTAAACTTCAACAAGATCGCAGTCGCTTCGGTGTGGTAAGGCGCTGTAAACAATGATAAGTTCGCTTTACACCGCCATACGGTAAGGTAGTCTGCTGCGTACGGACAGTTACGTGGAATGTCGCGGAATGTGACAACCACGCAACCCTACTATAAAGTTCGCGCGCAATAACTGGTATTGCCCGTTGCAAAAGATAAAAAAAAAGGAAGCGGGATTTATTTTTTTGATTCCAAGCTTGAGTATGTTATTTCATTTATTGTGAAATTTTTTGTGATGACATCGTTATACAAATGTGTTTTTTTCGTACAAAATTTAAAAATGATTTATTCATTAATACGTTACAATAATTAAGTGTCGTAGTTCGTAATACACATAAAATCATATTATTCTAAAAACAAGGTATTGCAGGAATATCTTTGTCTAGCACTTGTAAAATCTTATTAAAAAAAGTATTGAGCATACAACCTTCCACTATTCACTGGTCCTACCTAAGGTTATTTGGAATAGATCGCTTTCTAGCTATAAGAGCGTCATATTATACAATTTTTTTGTGGTTTGGTGTTTTCAAATTCAAATATCATAATATTACAAGTGACATAAATCTCGTCGAGCGAGCGTATGATATTAGTCGAGTAAGTAGTAGATATTAATTAGTAAATTGTCTGATCACACAACCAGATGACGAGGTTCCGCGCCTATATTGGCTTTTTTACGAGCGAAAGATAAAAAGATAGGCAAAGGGAAGTCGTTTCATCGTTAAGAGCGACTTTTAATGCCGCTTTCAACAAAGTCGTTATCGCATATTTACACATTAGCGTTAACTGCACCTCTTGAAACTAGTGGTCTGATTTATAACTTTCGATAGATATTAGTGCGAAGTACAGTTGTATGCATTCGTGCGGCCGTGACGGATAATTGTTCGGGCGCTCGCTTTCAATTCGATGTACTGAGCAACCTGAGTTCGATCTCCGGTGCAGGCACCAATGAAACAGTTAATTTTAAGTGCTGATTTATCACGTGCTCAGCGGTGAAGGAGAACATCGTGAGGAAACCCGCGTATTTCCGAATTAACAACGAAAAATATTTCGATACCATGTGAAGTCCGGCAATCCGCAGTGGGGACGCATGGTGGACTACGTCCTAACATCCAGCAGTGGGACGTTCCACAATTGTATTCCATGTTAATACGCCTTCTGCTTTATTGCATTGTAATTCAAATACTGAGAAAGAGTGCTGTAAGCGATTGTACGAAGGCAGAAACGAACTGTTAGTTACGACGTTAACGACTGACATTGAGGTTTTCCCGCCACGGCTCGAAGGACATGATCATTTAGGCCCCGTCCCAATATTGTTGCTGGTTAACAATTTGCCACTGTAGTTTGCAATTTGTGGTACAGATGCAGATAAAAACGACCAGCAAGGGGCTATTGCAGGAAGTAAAATATTGTCGAGAACTGCGCGAACGGAGGTTATATTTGGCAAATGATAAAATCCCTAGTGCTAATTTTCAATTGAGCGGTCAATTTAACTATTTCGTTGATAAATCATCATCGCTTTCTAAAAATCCTTTTAACTTGTTGTACGTGGGACACAGAGGGTATTATATTTTGTAATTGAGGCGATATAAAATTTAACAATTGAGTGTTTTATTATAATATGCAACAAAATTTCTTTTCACTTTATATGATATGACGCTTTTTCATCATCTCTATATATATATAAATGAATTACTTTATGTGTTGCTAAGCGCAAATCTCGAGAACAGCTGAACCGATTTCGCTAATTCTTTTTTTATAATATTCCTTGAAGTACGATGGTTCTTACGGATAGAAAATCTTTAAAAATGGCCTGAAAAAGTCTAAAAACAACACTTTTCTATCTTCCCATACAAGAGATTCCTAACAATACTTAAAAGTCAATTTGGACTTTAATACTATATCATAAAGTTTAAGTGTTAGTGGAGGGGTTCCGGGAAGGCAAAACAAGTAAGTGACTGTGGTAAAATGTCACTTGAAATGTAAACGTCTCCTTGCTGTGTGCAACTTTGTTTTATACATAGTATAAAACAAAGTCGTCCTGATGTCTGTCCCTATGTATGCTTAGATCCTTAAAACTTCGCAACGGATCTTGATGCGGTTTTTTTACTAGATAAAGTGATTCAAGCGGAAGTTTCCCATGTATAATACATTGCACCCGTGCAAAGCCGCGGCGGGTCGCTAGTGATGTAATAAATTTATTTCCTTTTTTAGAGTATCAAAAAGTCAATATACCTAAGTAGAGAGAGAGAGAGACGACATAGAGATCGAAAGAGATCATAGAGAAGAAATCATCAAAATGTGTACTTATAATTTAAAAAAAAAACTAGAAGACAACAAAGTCTACCAATCCACGATGAGTTCGCGACAGTCTGCCCAGCAGTCGGACAAATTTAGACAGTTACTTTACTTCACTTAAGGCATCATATTTTACTCGATTACATTTTAAAATGAAACACGATGTGTGATAAACTGAAATTGAAATAGTCAACTAAATCACAAGGCGACTTACCAAATAGCAGTCGATCGGTTTCTCCCTGGGCCTGTGGTAGGCCTTCTGCAGTTCCGTCTGCTTGAGCGCGTGAGCAATGTGCAAGGCACTGGCGTCGAAGCGGCCATATTGGTAATCGGGTGTGTCACGGGAGAGTTCCCGCGCGGGTGAGGCGTGCACGCTGCCTCCATTTGTGGCGCGCGTTGGCGACACTGAAAAGAGTTCCATTTTTGAGTTGTATAGAATTTTATAAAGAGTTCCATTTTTAAGTTGTTTAGAATTTTTAAAGAGTTCCACTTTTAAGTTGTTTAGAATTTTTAAAGTTGATTACTGCTTTAGAGGCAGTTGTTTCAAAAACAGGCAAATGCTTTTAACGTTCTGCCACATAACCATGGAAAAGATTGTGGAAAGAGTCGGCAATAAGATGGAATTATGTTCACACACTTCGTTTACAGATTCCTTTATCGCGGAGCGTTTTACAAAGAAGAAATCACGGACGCAAAGTGATTTCTTAGCACGGATTTCTTTTCCTGCGCAGAACTTTTTAGCGCAGCACGCATTAGCAATTGGTATGAATATTGCGCCATCTGTGAGGGCAAGTTTGTTTCTTTTTTTAATGACCCAGCGGACAGCTTCGTTATACTGCCACCGTGACATGCTTATGAGATTGACAACTAGTACGACGTCTGATAAAACAAGGAATAAAAAAGAGTATTCAAGATTGCCCTTTTTAGGGTTCCATAAGGACCCTATTATTAAGACTCCGTTGTCTGTCTGTTTGTCCGTCTGTCAATAGGCTGTATGTCATGAACCGTGATAGTTAGACAGTTGAAATTTTCACAGATGATGTAAATCTGTTGCCGCTATAACAAGAAATAAACTAAAAAACAGAATAAAAAAATATTTAAGTGGGGCTCTCATACAAGAGAGATGGGGCTGGATGAGCCACTGTTGGCCTTAGGGGCATCCGCCGGACTTGAGGTGGCCTGGCGCACGAGGCGCCTAGCCTAACCTCGGCGTACTATTATTACGCGTTTGGTGACAAAGCTCGAGGGCTCCCGGGGGAGCCTTCGGGCCGTCACGCTATTATTATCACCGGTTTGGGAGCCCGCCAAAGGGCGCTTTGGCGGGCGCTCCATGGAGTCATCAGGCTCAAAGAGGGGACCTTTGGGCTATCACTCAGCACGCGTTAGCATTCCGATTCGAGTCCCGACCGGACCTCGCTCGATCGGTAGCTACTTATCTGACTGGTTTTTTTACGGAAACCTTTGTGTACGAGTCCGACTCGCACTTAGCCGGTTTTTTTCATCGTCATGACAGATACGAAACGACAATGATATCTCGTTCAAAATTTAAAATATATCTTATGCTTAATGAAAATAAAGAACTGATTGATATAGTGAATAGTGATACTATCTTTTGCGCCCAAGGGTGTCGATTCGATCTCCAATACTAGATTGATGTTTTGTGTTGAAAATAGTGCTTTTCTATCATCAGATAAGTAAATGTAATGTTTTAATAAAAACATTATATATTCCTGTTAAAATTTGTAATAAAAAATTTAATATAACGCCATCTATTGACAATTGGTTTAAATAAAAGATAGAAGTAGAAGTTTCATTGATAAATATTATTTACTTATCTATACAAACAAAACAAAGTATTCTGTGTATAATAACCATTTGTTGACTGATCATGCTACTTTGTGAAAATTTCGTACGGGTCAACAATCGAAAACGTCAGTTATAAAAAATATACAAACTATCGTACCATTAGAAATCCTAATTTGAATTCGATATTGTAAACTGCTACCAAATTTTCGGAATCACGCAATCAATAAAATGAAACAATCACGAACACATTTGCAGTAAAACAAAATAAAAGTCTATTGAGCGCAATAGATATTCGTTTTGGTAAAATCACTATAATGACAGAGAATTTTCTAGTAATAATCGTGTTCAAACATTTCATATGCGCGAGTTTATTGAGAAATCATAACGCGAACACGCGCACCGGTCGCTTTTACTTCGTCGTATGGCATTTTGACGTTAATTGGCGAAACGTTAACGTTCAATGTTAATGTCAGTATGAATGTTGTCACGTGTTATGATTAAATACTCGATATTGGCGCGTGTTTAACAGAAACATTACGAATATGATAATTACGTATTTTTTTTTAATTGTTTTCATAGCTCTGCCTTGAAGGAACTCTTTTTTTGTCCGGGTGACCGGCTGGCTTCAGATCACATATTATGAAGAAGACGAAAGTGAACAAGGTTTCTTTCAAATTAAACAATGAATTTCATCAAGACTGTCAAACCAGTCTGTCCTGACTAGGAGACTTGTATAAAGTGTTCGAAACGGCCCGAATTAAAAAACAAGAAAACCATACTTAAAATACGCGTAGTATAAATTCAATAAAAATATATAAATCGTTATCTTAACAAGATTTTCTTTATTTCAACAACTTAGAAATTGGTAGCATATGATGATGTTTGGTAGTCATTAAAATTGTACTACTTGATTCTGCAAGCTGGCCACTTTTCCAATAGCCATTGCGTGCTGTGTTTTAGGTTCGATTACAATACAGAATTTTTTTTTACGAAATAGCAAATTTGGTTTGTAGGTAGGTTTAGGGCAATAGTTCCACGTCTAAGTGTACGCTTTATACAGTATTCACCCGTGACACAGGCTATAATTACGATTCTCTGTTCTTATTTCTTATTTAAAGTCGATAAAACGCTGAAGATATTTGAAAAAGTATACTATGAGAAACACGTCTAGAAATTTACATTTTATTTGACACAAAAAGTTACCATAAATACGTAAACTATATCCCTTAAAGCAAATAGAAAAATTTAATTTAATTTTAATTATTATTTAATAGTATTTAGTTATTATTATGTTTCAATTATATTGTAACATCTGTCGAGATAACTATTCTTATAGTCTAGAATCAGTTATTTCGTCGTTGATGAAAGCGTACCTGAACATAGAGTTATTCGATCAAAAAAGATATTAGATATAATTGAGATGGGGACGGTAAATTTAAAATGAAAACGGAAATAAACTTGGATACTATGTTTTAAATAAGTCTATCTCTATCTCATTTAGTTTTATATACCTCTATCATAATCTTGAATGCCTTCTGCAAATTTCCATGGGCGACGGCTGCCTCAGGTTACCTTTAATATTAAGTGAAACGCCAGCTCCCTTGCCATCATCTCACATTAAAAAAAATCAAATCCGTAATCGTAATGTGACACTTAAGAATTAATGAACACTTACATGACCAAAGAATAAAAAGCTCAATAGCGTTTTCCCATTGAATCTCCAACCTTTGGACTGTCTCAGGGTGATCACGGCAGCGATACTCATAATCAATCAACGGTTCAATGAATAACGAACAGTAATTAGTGATTACGCCTACGAATCAGTGAGTAGCGGCTCATTGTGGCCCGTTGAATCGATTAATCGGAACGTCCTCAGTAAAATTATCACCACGACGCTCCACAACGGAATAGTGCCGGGACAATAACGGGTGGTTGAATAACAACGAGTGATTAGTGGCCATTCGTATGTGAAACCGGCCGAGTGGATCGTCCGTTACCGGAGCCGGCCGGCTCGATTCTCGAATGTAGCCAAGTAAACCAACGTTCAATATGTGGAATTTATAATCTGCATGTACAGTTCCCGCCCATTTTAGGTTGCATGCCTAACGGACAGTGCCTGAATAAATTATTATAAGCATAATTTCATGTATTATCTATGTTGAGATTGACAACACATAGATTGGAGTCACGTAGCTTTTTAGCGATATTTTAAACAATCTGTAACGTATAATTTGATCTGTGGTTGTTTTCATTTCTGTCTGTAAAATAACGATATATATTCACATCGTATTTGCCGTTTATAATAAAGCGGGCATGGATTGTAGTTATCATTACAATAATAATTATTTATATAATTTACGGAATTTATGAAGCTACCCCCACAAATAAGATGAAGCTAAACGATTATGATAAATTCAGGTCGGCGTTAACATGCCGCTTTTGTAAATTATACAAGATTCAGGCGTTTGATTTGTTGAATTAATTACTTTACAACGCCTAATACTTAATTATGCGCATAGCTAATGTATCGCGTAATATCAAATTAAGGCCTAATCCCAATGGAATTTAATTAAAATACATATTATACAATATGAACAAGGTGAGGAATGTGATGAAAGGTTATAATTTATGCGCATCTTAAATGAAGTTCAAAAAATTAACTTTAAAAATTGTGAGTTAATTTTTATACAGTGCCCCCCTTGCACTTAAGATGAAACTTATACTCTGTAGAGAAAGCTGTAGCAAATTTTTTCTGAGTCTGGGATTCTAATCTGAGTCTTCCAGATTACGGGTTCAGACGCTCTAACCATTAAGTCGTAAGCAACTCAACTGCTTAGGTCGATATCCGTGCGAAAAACAATTTTGCGACTGTATTATTTCACATACTACACATTTCTAATTTTTAGCTAGCCTTCTACGAATAACAATCAGTTTAGATTTTGATAGTAATGCAATAGCCATATCTTTATAAAAAGGCCATTTCTCTGCTGTAGGCTGGTTATTACGAAAGATAAGGATACAAATTGACCCGAGCGATATTTTTGCACATTACTGTCATCTGTCACCGAATGGTTAAATAATTAGGTAAGTCTTAATATAATAGTATAATAGTATATAGTAGTATAATATAATATAATATAATATAGTATAATATAATAGTATACCCTAATACAGTTGCAAAGTGGCGTATTGCATGGACGTATAGCGTTCGGGATGTGGGCTATTACATACTCTAGCTTTTTCTTTACCTTTTCCGAACTCGTACGTTCTCTTTCCCAACTGTCAAAATAATGTCTATTAAAAAGAAAAAACCAACCACAAAGTTTAAAAAAAAAATTCATAGAAGTTTTTATGATTCATGCAAATATTAAAAAGAAGCTACTAATTTCTTTTAATATCAGATTTAATGATTTGATTCAATGAGTTAGGTTAGGTTTCATTTCATTTTATCTCATTAAATTTCATTTTCATTTCATATCAATAAAAAAAAAATCTACTGAAGACTTGGCTATATGGGCATAGTTCCCTTTGCCTACCCAGAATGGGTGAAGAAAACAAAAAATCTCTCTGCTTATATTCTTTTACGGTTGGCGCCATTTTCCAAAAAATTTCTTTAACTCAAACAATAAATATGCAACCTAAAACTTCCCCAGTTAGTATAAAACTGTACCAATTTCAATGTATACCTATGTGAATAATAGCTTTTATAAGAAATAAAATAAAATTATTAGTTAGTTGAGTTTATTGTGTTTTTATTATTCTATTAAATGGCTTCATTACAAAAATTACAATACCAGATGTGAAAACTAGATATCAAGCAAGCGACAAAGCGGTTTTCCTGATTTTATGTGATTACCCTCACCCATACATAATCTCTACCATACCCGTCGGGTTACAGATAATACAGACATAGCATAACCTAATAAACCAGACGAAATGCAAAAGCATATAATACTTCTACTTTATGTTGGTCGTCTTTAAAACCGTTGTACTTACGCCCCCCGAGCGTGCTCAATCGCGCTACAAAAGAGAAAAGGGTATGCTATAAACGGAAATTGGCAGTATCATCAGAATTTTACAGTACAAGTTTATCTGGTAACTCCAATCAAAGACCGCGTAATATGTGAAAATTTTTCTCAAACCAAAACTCAGTACGTATTGCTTCTTTAACTTAAGATTATTTCGCTATAAAGTAAGCATAAAGCATGAATTTACGTTTGCATGAGCCCGTTGACATAGCTAGCTAGAAAAAATGCATGTCGACATACCGTATACATCCGCTCTTGAAATATTATCTGAAAGAGAAACAAGAAATGTAACTAAAACATTCATAGTGTAATTTTACATAGAAATTTGTCATATGATTAAAACATAATGGCTTTCACTATACTAAATCAAATAATTACAGTGACGGCATGTAGTAAATTTTCATAATGTTAAGCACTGATCAATTACGCGCTCAGCGATCTTACAATTCTCAATAGCGCATAAAGTAGGGAGACATTTATATTGTGGGCATATAAGACTTATATGCCCAGTTTCCGAAAGGCCAATCAAAGCAGCAATCACATAACACTATGTCAAAAATGATCAGATGTTAATCTCTTGTTAAACTGCCTTGGGTTTCTGGAAGGTTTGTTCAAGAAAAATTAGCTAATCACTGTATAACCAATGATAATGAATGAAATGAATGATTTAATTCAACTAACTCTTTCTATTGTATAGCTGTCCCTTTTTAAACAAAACTTAAATTAACGTCACTATCCAGTCCTGTCACCGTATGATTGCCAACGTAAAAATCCGAGCTATAATAAAATTTAATTTATATAAATACATGCAAAATGTCGAAAAAAACTTTACAGAACGTGAAAAAAATTAACTTTTATCCATAATAAACAAGTAAGTATTATGAAAACAAAGAATCCATATTATTTATTAACTTTTGAATTGCATTTTGTTTTTTTTCTAATCACATGATATGTTCGCATAATAATAAATAATAAATAGGTAATAGAACACATGAATGTCCTAACAACATATTAGGGAATTATGTTTATTTTTAATAAAAACTAAGATTTTTGATAAATAACATTTTTAACCAACGATTGATCGTCCAAATTGACAGATTACTTAATAAAACTTTTGACAGCTCGTTGACCACCGAAAAACGCTTTCAGAAACTCGATTTTCTGTTGATTGTCCGTTAATCAGTGATTAATTACAAATCAAAATCAATGTCGTTTAAGACGTTCTAGCAACTCAGATCATGTTAAACAACGATTGACAAGATATTTATCGTAAATTAAAATTGATTGCGCTTTCGGAAACTGGGTGTTAGTCTTAATCCTAACTCATTTGTATAATTTAGTTCTGGGTATAAATTAGCCACAGACGTGATAGCTTAACATTTTATTTTATTTTGTCATTGGCAGATTAGTAATCTGTCATCTCGTATCGATCGGAGTAGGCCTTTAACTGTCCTCGTCGTTGAGAAAATTTCCGAACAAATGGCGATGAATTAAAACCAACGACCCCCGCGTCGGTGATATTAATTCAAGTTGTAGAACCACTTCATTAGAGTTGACGGCGCTAAGAGATAATTTATTAACGATCATTTGACGTTTAAAAATCATTGCCACACACGTATCGATAGACAGGTTCAACCAGGGAAGTACAGCCTCACAAAAGACCATAAAACGCCTCATTCTGTGGAAGGTGCCCAGAGCTCGCTTTATAAAAGGTGCCCGTGCAATAAAAAAACCTATCGGTGCCTAGGCGGCTGTAATCACTTGACATTAGTTGAACGGTTTACTAAGCAGTCTCTGTTTAGTTAGTTGTTCACCAATTTCTAAACATGTATATTCCACATTCTTTACGAAAGCCATGGCCGCGAACATGTTAATATCATATCTATCTTTGTGTCTGTGTGTTTTAATAGCAATCTTTGCATTAGCTTGAAAGACATTAGAAATCGTGCGTGCTGAACGCAACGAACGAAACGCAAATCGAGCAGATTTCAAAACTGACTCGATTACCCATTTCCTTCTAACGCAGCCGACTAAGGAAGGTTCGCGTATTTTTCTGAAATGGCGCTGTTGCCCAAGCGGTTTCGCGTAATCCCAATAAGGCTGTTGCGATTTACGTTTTGAAATGTCCCGCTCCGATTTGCTTTAGTCCGTTTTTGTTGGCACTTTACATGGCGCTGTGAATGCGGTACCCAATGTACTCGCGGTCGATTTTGTCGGCGCGTATGATTAGCAAGACAGAGATAGATATATTTGGTGGTGTACCCTCCTTTGAGCGGAGGAAGGCCAAATCAGGAAGGGTGGTGCTAAAGTGAGACAACGATAAATGCGTTTAAGAATTGCCCAAACAGAGGACATAGTAATTATGCTCTCTAACTCGGGACATTGGACGGTACGGTACCCTTGTTACTAGGTCACTGCAGATCTAGTATCATATATTTTTAATTTAGTATTAACAAAATTGTAGTCAATTTCGACTGAACATCGCATTTCATTTGTTATGTACATATTTACATTAATGAATATAATACAATATAATAGTTTTACAGTTATTCAAACTTATATAATAATTACACAAAAACTATCTAATTGGGATAGAGAGTGGAATATTTACGAGATTATTATCTTCTTAATACAGTATTATTATATTTGGTTCAGTTACACAAAAGAATTGGAATGAAGACCTATTTACACTAATTGCTTAGAAAATTAAGTGCAATTATTAAATGAGTATGACAATTTTAAAATGACGTTTCGTTATGAATAGCGTATGTTACGCAACCAGATGCGTGTGATTTTGCGCGCAAAAAACCATCAAGCGACATTATACAGTTTTTACCGTTTGCACTTTCATGAGAAACTTCATTAAATATTGAGCGTAAGCACGACATATCCATCGCAATGAGTCAATCAAACAATTCGAGTAGTTTAACACGCATACGAGCAGATAATAAATGGCGCAATTTTTATTCAGTCGCATGTTTGTTTTGAGCCCGATATTTGGCATAATTTTATTAATGCCCAGACTGTTATAACAAAATCAATAATTTTAATAATTCATTAAGTAATAATTTATTATATTTTATTAATATTTAATTAATGTTAATAATTAATTAATTTTATAATCAATAATTTTAATTCTAAGCACGCAGTGCCTAATTAACATTTTCAAAGCATGACCACCCAAATTAATATAGTTGTACTTGTAATTTTAATATTAATTGTAAAATATTCTGATAACACACGTTAATTAATAATTACTTATTAGTATTAATTTTGTAATTAAACATTTATACACAATCTTATAAAAAGTTCAAAAATAAACTTTTTTTCTCTCAAACGTTTATATATCTATGGTACGTCAAAATGAATTTATTAAGAGCTCAGTAATACCAAAGCTAAATAGCCTTTATGGTTATCGCATTCCCGTTATTCATTTAATCAACATGTATTTAATGACCCTAGGTCACATTTGAACAGGTTGGGTCCGCTCCTAGCGTTAAAGCTTTAGGTCACTGGGCTGTCGCTGAGGAATGCCGCCGGTCGTTTCGCAACCATAGGCCTCTCTTTCGCCTCTCGTAGTCTTTCTCTCTCTAAAAGCCGAAGTGTATCGCGGGCCTCGTATGTACCTTACCGCCATCTTCGGAAGTCCGACCGGATTCCTGCAGGTTTGCCGATTTGCGATTGCGATAGACGTTTTCTTCTTGTTTCTCGACGGATTTATGCGGGCGATGTGTCATATTTACGAGTTTTTGAATTCCGAATGACCGAAACGTGGCCCAAATGCACGTATAAATTTTTAGCCAAACTAAAATAACACATTCTTTGGGTGTTACTGTATTAAATTAGCATGTTATTTTATTATGTAATAATTTATCTCTGAAAGGTCTTTCTACAGGTTTTGATAACCTCAACTTAACTCAAGAGTATTGTTATCTTTTTAAATGTATTTATTTTTAATACTGATTTTTGGCTTTCAGTCTATCTATAGATACTATCTTAACCTTCAAAAGGTAGTTTCCGATTAATAGTACTGGCCTTATGTTTTTAATTGTTAATAATTAAGTCGCCGTAAACAGAAGACTTTACAAATTTGAGGGGTGACGCAGGGCAAGTGATAGACGGTTAAGTCTCAAAAATCAGTAACAACCTAGTTTAAACTCATATCTTAGAAAAGTATACTTATGATCTACTATAGGAATGAAGCAATAAGTGAAAATCAACTCTATTTTTGGTTTAACACGCAATACAGACTTGAAAAAGTTAAATTAAGCGGAATTTTGAACAGGGTTGAATTACAACGTCCAACGTTTGTAATCAGCTTTAATAAACAAAATACTATCAGACATAGAAGGTTTAAGACGAAAGTATTTCAACTGGTTTAAGGACTTGTGTTTCTCTACCATCAATTATTAATTTTGATATAATCAAAAACATTTGCTCAGGCGTATTTAATTTGGAAGATACAAATTAGCTGAAACTTTTAGCCTTTTATGTATCTTGACGTGTGTACTAAAAATAACTTGAACTAACAGCCTGACTCATAATCATAAGCCGTAAATATATAAAGTCTATAAATATGAAATTTTATCATCAGGCTTTTATGATGTCAGCACCAAGTTCACAGTATTAGATAATACAAGGCAAAAGGCAATGAAACTGAGATTTGTGATTATTTATCTAATGCTTTTCAAGTATCAAGGCATTTGATGAAAGATCGTATTTCGATTAAAGAAGACGATCGATTTCGTTGGGTAAATTCTATAACAGCCTTCTCTAGAAATGACCTAGTCTAAGATGCCGGCCGACATTAAGTTTGTATCGTTTCTGAAAACCATCCTCTGCGATTATGGAAAATTAGAATAACATGAGTAAACGCGGTTACAAATTTTTACGTCTTGCCGCGTGTAATCCCCTGTAAATCCCATAAGTAAGAGTAAGTATACTACTTAACTAACTACTAACTAACCATAAAACTCTTACTGGACTGTAACTAATAATATTAACTAATAATATATAGTCTCTAATAATATATAGTATATATAACTATGACTCCAGTAAGTAATTAGGAAACGGTATAGTTACTAGGACTCGAGTAAGTTTTATGGCTATTTAAATTTTTGATTCTTGACTGTGCATTACCCCGCCAATCCCGAATTTTATTTTATTATAATGCAAAAATATATGTTATTTTTGCAATTTAATAAGATATACCTCGATTGCGCTCTAACAACCGTGTCTTTTCAATTGTTGTAGTCCATTCCTTCTTTACGACATCGCTTATCAATTAACCGTAGAAAATGCTGCCTCAAAACTAGGAAAACTAGCTCATTTAAAATTTTACGAGAATTGGGAGACATTCAAAAAGTTCAAATCACGTGCGTAAGACTTCATTGATTCTTGTCTAACAAGGTAGTACGTCCTCGAGTGTCAGTTATTAACAAGGAGAGGTGTTTATCAAATTAACTGTCACAGCCACTGTCGATAACTGTTTATATGCGTATTAATCTTAACCCATTGTAACTGTGGTCAATAAACCGCGACGCCGCCAAGGCCTCGGCCATTGTTCCAACGCCTTACGAGGCTTGCAAGGTGCAGCGCAATTGCTTCAAGAGGTACATCGATGTCACAATACGTCAAACGTTGTCTTGATGCGAGTACTATGACTATTGTTCGGTAGTACGTGGTCAGTTTTGAACGGTTTCGCTCCAGTCGACTTCTCAATTCACGCGTCTTTATTAGTATACAGGTTGGCCCAAAGATCGTCGAAAATCTAGGCTTTTGTCAACTTTAAACACAAATTAAACAGGTCTCTTTTTTAAATAATTTATCGCGTACGATTCATGGATTTATCGCGTACATTCGGAATAATGAAGTTATTCGAATGAAAACTTAATGACTTTGAATAATTTACGCTTTAAATCAACCTAAGTTAAAAAAAACAAAAACAATTGGTATTTGGCCACCTGCACACGCATAATAAAAAAATACAAGAGCAAATCATGCTACAAAAAAGAATAAACTGGGCTTAAAAGCGCACACACACACACACGCTGTCGTGGCTACTGCGGAAAAGGAAATAAAATGATGTAAAAAAATTAACGAGGTTCGCTTTTCAATTCTGTTCTATAAAATAAATATCGCGTACGATTCATGACAATTTTTCGGAATAATGTTAAAATCAACCTCAATCAATTTAATTCGTTTAAGATTTATTTGAAGCATTTAGAGCATTCATTAAAATTATACTGGCCATCTACATATATCACACTATTAAAAAAAGAATAAACTATAAAAGCGCACTCACACTCGCTGTCGTGGCTATTGCGCGCGTGGCCGCGTATCTGCTCGTTGACGTAATTGTTACTGCGCGGCACGTTGAGGGCGCTTCGGATGCCCACCGACGAGTTGTCCAGGTGGCCGGGGCCGATTTTGGGTACGTGACTCGAGCAGTAGACCTCCTTGTCCTCGGTCCAGTGCTGGTTGTTGTAGTACGTCTGTAATAAAATAAACTATCAGACAATCGTTATAAAAGAGAACTATTACGGATGGTGACGACAGCCCTATGGATCTATATTATATAGGATCAAAATAGAGCTCTCTGAGAGCTTTTAACTTTAAGAGGCGTATACACCTTTCTTCTTCATAGAAAATGGATGTCAATATATTAGATTTTGAATAGCAAAGTTTACTTGAAGTTAGGGTTCTCATTTTTGAGTGCAATTTAAGCATAAATAAATTAATAATAACAAAACTATGTTTACTTTATTATGATTTTATTCTAATGACAGCCAACTACGCTTTCGTGAACCACTGAATAAATTTGTTCACGAACGATTATCTGGAAAAAATAGTTTCGTATAAAAATGTGTTGTGTTCGCATAAAAACTAGAGATTATTAAAAGAAACTCTATAATCGCTCAGGATAATGTAGTAATTGGTGAAAATGAACGCGCCTAAAAACTAAACAGTCAACGAAACGAGTGAGGCGCGGTTGCGTACCAACAGTACATATTCTCACGAAATCTAAAGTCGTGTATGTGTGCGTTCAAAGTTTTGTTCATTCATGTCCATGTGTATTGACGACGCCACACGTTGACGAAAACGCAGACACAGGAACAACAGATTTTTTATATTTGAGGAAGCTCGGCCGTAAAAACTGAATGCGAGAACATTATAAAAAAAACCGAAGGGTTCGTACCATTATCTATAAAAACTACAATAAAATCATATCTATCGTATCCCATACAACTTAAATACTTTTTTATTGTGTTTTTTAGTATTTGTTATTATGGCGGCAATAGAAATGCATCATCTGTGAAAATTTCAACTGCCTAAGTATCACGGTTCATGAGATTTACGCCCGGTGTCTAAAACACTGATCGTTGTAGATGTCAACTATTCAGCTGTCAAATGGATTTCAAATTACAATTTAGATACCAAAAGGATGGTTAAACTCTCTGAATTGACCAGAATGATCTTCTTTATGATCAGAATGACCAATTCAAAGAGTTTAAACATCCTTTTGGCAACTGAAATTCATTTGACAGCTGATTAGTTGATATCTACGATGATCAGTGTTTCAGAAACTGGGCGACAGTATGGTGACAGACGGAGAGATAGACAGACAGACAGACAGCAAGGTCTTAGTAATGGGTCCTGTTTTACCCTTTGGATATGGAACCATTACACAGAGAGAGATTTCTTTTTTATGCGAAAAGTTGTCAAACGAGCAGACGGTTCACCTGATGTTAAGTGAATACCGCCGCCCATGGACATCTGCCACACCCGAGGGTTACAGATGCGTTGACAACCTTTTGAAAATTGGGCTCCGGCTACCTCACTCACAAACGAAACGCGAAAGTTTATGTCATACTTCCACTTTACGCTGGTCTTCTGTAAGGTTGTGGTACTTACCCGGAGGGGCCTGCCCATTCGTGCAACAGCCGAATCTGCTCCGTGGCCCTACCACCGTAAGATTAGTGCCAAAAAGTTGGTATTATTTTTTGAGGTTATACCATTTTATATCGCCACTCATTAAATTAATTACGTTATCATTGAAGATAATTGAGTCTGTGCAAAAGTAAAATCTTTCGGCCCATGCAATTACAGCGTATTTATAAGCGTTCGCGGCCAATTCATGCCGCCAATTACAATAGTCTAAAAGCCAATATAACCTGACACCTCGCAGTGTCCGGAAGCCTAGAACACGTTTTTAAATCACGCAGCTAGAGAGCACATTAAAATGGGCGCTTAACAAAAGTTTTAATGAAACAAACTCGCCGTTAAATAGATATTTAATTTGAATGATGGATATGATCTTTTACAGTTATTCACTTTCACATAGCATTGTTTGTGTCATTGTTGTCAGATCGAGGTTGATGGCTCCGAAAACGCTTTGTGTCGATGTATCGTTATCGCGACAGTGGATTTGTGGTAATTGTTATTAAATGTATTTTTATCCTAATTCCTGCGTCAAATTTCATCAAAATGCGTCCAGTCATTATACTATAAAGTGGTACAGAATTACTCTCCATAGCAATTCCAAAGAATAATGCACTTTTCCCGGATAAAAGTGTCCCGTGTATGAGAGGTCAAGTCAATTGGGCCTTTATTATACAGAGAGATTTTTTGAGAAGTACCCAAATTTACACAGGCGGTTCAGACTCGGTAGTATATTCGTTTATTTAAATAAAGTTCTTTTTTATCCAAAAAAAGCTATTATATTCCCTAAAAAACAGAACGTGTTGACAATGCGGTAGTCATTCATACATACCTAAATTATACTGTGCACGAACTTGTGTGCGTGTTAGTTATGAAAATAAATGAGTTGCGTATAAATGATGCACTTTTTGAGATGTTAAAATGAATTTAATTAATTACTTACGAGTGATTTGAAATATTTATCATTGTTTATTTGTCTAGAATTTAATTTAAAAAATGGATACACTTAGAAAAGCTACCCTGTATAATAAGTGGGTATTTCAAGTAGTTTATACAAATAATTATTGTAGAAGTGACAAATTTATGAGATATGAACAACAAATTTGAATGAGTCTATAAAAGTTTTTTTCTCAAACATTATTACTGTATTTCTGTCAATCAAAAGCCCTATCAAAATATCTTACTTACAATGGAAATAATGTATTTATTATCTACGCTTTTATAGCTTCATAAGAAATATTCGTTTCTGAAGTCTGAATTTAATCTAAACATTGTTATTTGCCTGTTGCAATTAGATGCAGTTGAGCTTTCAATTGGCGTCTATCACGGATGAATGATATACACGACATTTTTACGGATTTGCTTACCAAACCATGTCAACGTGATGAAACGGAATTTTTCAGCGAAAGATAAAGATTTCAAAATCAATATACGTGAAAATTTAAATCCTAAGGACTGCTTTGCCATTTTTATCTGAATGCTGTAAAAATTTTATGTAAGGGAAAACGGCAACATTGTTGACGCGTAGAATATTATAATGGGTCATAAAGTTATAGCATAATTATACAATGCAAGCAATGAGTAATTCAGGTTATTAAATCAAGGAGCAAGACGGTGACTCATAACAGAACATCTGATCCGTTACGTTTTTATTTTTTCAGCGTTTATTTACGTTGGATTAATCATTTCGATAATACCGTCAGCTGTTACCGTTCAACTGTTTTCTTCTTTTATTTCGTTCGTACTGTTTGCTTTTCGTGTTCGGTTCCGTAAATGTTGAGTGTTAAATTGAACGTAGATAATAAATAATATAATACGAGCAAATTAATTCTTTTTCGATAGTTACACTGTACACAAATAATGTGTCGTTAATATATTAAGGTATTTTTCTTAAGTTATGACGTTGATGCTATAAATTGCAGAAGACAAACAGCTGTAAGATTCTCTGTTTTTTTTATGTGAAAAGTTGCCAAACGAGCAGACGGTTCACCTGATGTCAAGTGAATACCGCCGTCCATAGACAACTGCTACACCCGAGGGTTTGCAGTTGCGTTGACAACCTTTTTGGAAATTGGGCTCCGGCTATTTCATTCACCAGACGAAACGCGAAAGTTTTTGTCATACTTCCACTTTACGCCGGTCATCTGTGAGGTCGTGGTACTTACCCGGACGAGCCTGCCCATTCGTGCAACAACCGAGACTGCTGACATGCTCTCTTTGACATGTTTATTTTTCGACATGTAATTACTTTCTTTAATTGAATAAAATATCTATAGTACCTTTTCACTTAAATATAAGAAATCATTATTTACCAGACTTTATAATTTAAAACTGCATCAACTCCTTGTTTCTTCATACATTGTAGGTAAGGTTTTTCACATCTCCACCTAACACGGGCGTCAAGTGGAAGTATTGTTTTTTTGCGTTTTACTTGGTGGATGAGCCGTGATGTGATTCAACCTTTTTTAAGGTTGCCAAGGCCACACCTGTTGAAGGATACCAGTAAGTCTGTTAGATTGCCTTGGTTCCGATAACTACATAACTGTGTTAGGGCTGAGCGGCAGTCTTCGCTTTACTTTTTAGTGGGTCGCAACTATCCAAATTTAAGATACAAAACAATCAAAACATTCTTCGTTTTTAATAAATCCGTGACCATAGATCGTAGAAATTATCCGTTGGTTGTTCGACGAAACAATTTTTCAAAACAATAAAAAGGTCAATCGGTCGCAACTATCCAAGCTTAAGATACAAAAACAATAACAAAACACCCTTCGTTTTTCACAAACCATATCAATCATATCAATATGTTCATTACATAGAGCGTAGAAGTTATCTGCTTGTTACTGAACGAAACAATGAATTTTTTTTCAATGCAAAGGACAATAAAACTGGCGAGGACTTGATAAGCGGCTGCAAGGTCGGCCAAATGCCAACAGGACGTGAAGATAGTAAATAAACCAAGGCCGATGAGTGAAGTCATAACTTGCGGCAACAAGTTTCGTGACAAGCCAACAGTAGTTTGCGGCGAGAAGAGTTTCGACTTTAAAATACGACACAATAGGCGCCAAATTAAATTATTTAATAGTTTCTTGTTTGCGAAATATCTTAATGGCATTAAATATGCTCTAAAGTATCAGCCTATACATGCCCCACTGCTGAAAGGCCTCCTCTGTACAGAGGGTACCCTTAATATGTAGTATGCTCATAGGGCAATTTTAAGAGCCATCAAACACACCCGTAAACTGTGTTTTTCCAAAACACAGATGTCTTTAGGTGAGATGGCGACTGTCGGTTAACTTTGTCTCTTTCTATTATTTGAAAAGTGTGGCAAGCGAGCAGGCGGTTCATCTGATGTAGTGATCACTGACGCCCATAGACATGTACACCTGTGAGGTTGCAGATGTGTTGCCAACCTTTTAAGAAGTGGGCCCCGGTTAGCGAGTGACGCTAGACGAAACGCGGAGTTGGAGTTCTTCCGCTTCCTGTCGGTTTTCTGTGAGGAACTCCTTCATAATATTGTAACAGTTTAGTGACGATTTATAATTAACATTTATAAATAATAGTGACGATTTTAATCATCAAGTGAGATTGATACACGGGTGCAATAACCAAATTAAGGTTAATTTAAGAATTATTTAATAGGGCTCAAAGTTTTTGAAGATTAAGTAAAGGAACCATTGTTATTAATAGCAGAACTTTTCAAATACATAAATTGCGTATTAAAGTGGTTAACTTTTTTAAGATTTATTTAGGAACACCAAAATAATTTTTGTTAATAATTGTGATTTTTAATCTTGGCCAAATCTATATGCTCATAAAAGAGTACACTTAAGGTATAGTGATATTTGAAAATTCACAGAATTGCATTTCGTTTTAAAATAATTCTATCAGGATGTTATCCACAATCCGAAGTACGAGTGACGAATGGTGCAACACGGCTAGAAGTCGGTGCAAAGGGGACGAGGGAATGACTATGCAAGCGTCACTTCCGGCCCCATACCATATCCCGCGCGGCTGGCCCCTCGTTACACATCTGCAGTGGCTGTGTGCGGTCACAATTCAGTGTGACCGGGCTCGCGTTCAAATCCTGGTAATTTCTTTGTTAATTGCACTTACAAGTGTTATTTTACCACCAGTACAACGCTAAATTAGGCAGTGGTAGAGCCACGCAACAGTCCTCACTGTAGCACGAATGGGCGTGTCCGTCCGGGTATCACGATCTCGCAGAAGACTGGCGTGAAATGGAATTGTTATAGTTCTGCGTTTCATCTGGCGAAAATATATAGTTGAACTTTTCACTGTGGGTCAGATTACAATGCAACTGGAACTGCTGCGCGGTCTTCCACAATCAAGTCTATTCCCTTGACCCTTAATATGTAATAATTTTATTACACGATTGGCGTAGTGGGTAGTGAACCAGCCTCCTGCGCCAGAGGGTGTGGGTTCGATCCCCACTGCTAGAAAAACATTGTGTGATGAACATATTGTTTTTCCAGTGTCTGGGTGTTTATATACTTATAATATGTATTTATTTACAAAAGAACAATATTTTTAAGTATTTTTATCAGTTATCTTGTCAGACAGAGTAGACCAAGAGAACGTCTTGTCAAAATGTGTCCTAAATATTTGTTTATTTATTTATTTTATATCGAACTAGCTATATATATATACATATATATATATATATATATATATATGTATATATATAGTAAATAAATAGAATTTCTAAAACAAAAGTAGCCTAAGTTACTCCTTAATTACATCAGCTGTCTGCCAGTGAAATCCCAAAAATTGTAAAAAATGTTATTTTGGTATATGTCCCCACAAACAGACACGCCTATTTTATTTATCTGTTTATCTGTATAGATTTCGTTATCTGCAAGCGCTCACTTTCAAGGTCAACTTGGTGCCGCACACCGCGCACTTGAAGCATCCGCTGTGGAAGAACGTGAAGTCCTTCAGCGGCCCAACGCGGTCCACCTGGTACACGATCTCGCTGCACCGGAAGCACGTGCTCTCGTAGAAGTTCGGCCGATACATGTTCGCTTCTCGGCTAACTCATAATTATCGGGGGACACTTTGGGCGCGACACCGCGGCACTAACGTCACTCGTCTTCTCCGACGCGCGCGACACCGCGGCACTAACGTCACTTGTCTTCTCTGACGCGCGCGACACCGCGACACTAACGTCACTTGTCTTCACCAACGGGTGCGACACCCCGACACTAACGTCACTTATCTTCTACTTTCACTTTTACATCTGTCCGCGATTGGAGACAACTGTATGATATATTTGATTGTGCACCGTAAGACGAGACCTGTTCGTTAAAACGATTGTTATTCTTCTTTTATTCATTCGTTTTTAAGTAACTGCTAATAAATATAGATTAGTCGTCGAAACGATTTGTTTTTGCTATTATATAATCAGAATGGATAAACTACACTAGACATATAAAAGTATTTTAGTTAGCTATCTTAATATGTCTTTCCACTTTTAAGTTTTTGTCTCTCCGTAAATTTTTAATAGTGTAATTAACTGAAAAATATCTTTTGTGTATTTGGATGTATATTTCTTTAAGACATTACTAGTCATCATAATTTCGTATTTACAAATGTGTTTTTTGTTGCTTATTTTTGCATTTGTCAAAGCACTATTAGTTCAATGATTATACGAATAAGTATAGGCCCACCAAGTTATCTTATACAGCTCTAACAAAAAGCTATATTTAGAGTCGAGTAATTTTAAATTGACTGAACAAAGCAAGGTAGATTTGAGTAAGAATATTCGTGAATGAAAGTCGCCCTCACTCGTGGCGTGGTTATATTGATCCACCGCCCACTTCTGCCCCTTCGTTTGGCTGCGACTGACCACTAGCTTAAGGGAGGAATCGAAGGAATACTGTGCAGTAGTTCTTTAAAGTGAAATAGGGATATTAGTGGTGCTGAGGTCAACGAACTGAACTTTGGGCACCGAAAAATTTCGTGTATTTATATTTAGTGTAAGTTTGGGACATGTAAAATTAAAAAAAGATAATATTATCTGTCTATTGAATATTCTCTATATATCTATTGAAGTCATATATTATGTGGGAAAGTTATTAACAGCCTATATGAACAACCTATGTCTAATTTCCTTTTGTTTCCTTTGAGCACAGTACTTTATGTTCTTTATATACATTTAGCTAATTTTTTGATTAATAGACAAAATCGTACCTTTGTCTCTAAGAATGTTCAGGGAAACAACAAAGAAAATATGATAGATGTAATATTTAAGTAACACGGTGTTTACAGAAATTTTACACACTTTCATGTCTTTTACCCTAACATGAATTTGGTTTCTGTTTTAAAAGAAAACATGAAGTATTATATTAACGTTTACTTAGCTTTTGTGTCATTTGATAATTCTGAATGTACACGATAATTAAACGATTTCAAATTACCATGATATGCATTACGAATCTATTGACGTAAAGGAATCTTTCGACGGGATTTTCAGAGTCCTTGGTCACAGGATAGACCATCCATGACCTCTATGTCTCGTGATCATGGACTCTGTAAAGTTCAGTTCAGTTCCGAAACGCCGGAAATAACATGAAAATTAAACGCGTTTAATTTTATAATGAAAATAAAAAAATCAGCCAAATACGTCCTAATAATATCCTGATAGGACCATCGGCGTAAACGAATTGATGTCATAACTCTCCTAATTTCCAGTTAAGTCGTATAATATTCGTGCGTATAAAATTACAACCCTGATACTAAATTCTTATTAGATGTTTCGAACATAGTCGATGAATGTCTCTTTTGTTTATAGTTTACGTCGATTGTCACTAAGTAATGTCTTATGACTGTTGACACTAATTTGTATATTTTCACAATTTACTTTGTTCGATTGTTTAAGTTTTTTTTGGAGTGGATGCGTTGCAGAACATGTGTTTAAAAAAAGCTCATTGTTTTATTTCATGAACATTGTAAAATATTGTTTTTTGCCATCATAATTATACGTGTCAGTTACTTTTAGATTATTATGTGCCAAAAGAGTATAATTTAAATTTTTTTTATTTTGTTTATGTCTAAATCTTTGCCTTGTCTGTTTCGCAAGGAAAACTTAAAAACGAGAATTTTGCTATAAAATATCCAAAACCGGATATTCAGCGATTCCATTATCAAAATTAACAGTATCAAAGAAATATTATAATTATTTGCATGTTTAAAGCCACGTTAAGCGATGAGGACTTTGAAATCGCTGTTATGACAGAACAAAGGGCTGTAATAAAAGCTTCATTAAAGCATCAAATTTAATAGAGAATTATGTGACAAGTAAAGTCTTATTAATATCTATCCATATTAAGGTTCAAAGCCTCTATCTGTTGCAAGGTGTAAAGATGGTATGTGTATTTTTATTGCATAACGATCCTTTGTCTATAAATGGAAGTCCTCTCTAATGCCCGGTTTCTTTTCACTGATCATTGTAGAAGTCAACTAATCAGCTGTCAAATGGCTTTTCAAATGTTATTTGAGTGACTAAAAGAATTGTTAAACTCTCTGAAATGAGCAGATTGAACGTTAATAAACGGGCGAAAATGTGCCATTTACTGGTCACCCATCCACTTTATAACCTAATCCCAGTGTTGAATACAAAAGGTTGCTTTTTGATTAAACGTATAGATAGCTATTGCCTACTCCCTGCTTCGATATTTATAGCACTGTCTGTCATTTTATTAGAAATGTAATCCGGTCATACCACCAGCAGAGTCTTTGTTACCGTTATATGCCAAATTTACCTATAATTCGTAATCGACGTGTTAATATTTTGCATAAATAAATAAATCATTTCAAATTTTTGTATTTATATTTTGAAATTTAACATTTATCGCCAAAATGTTAAACATTTATTGACAAAGTTGACGGAGAACTTTCTCAATAAATGTTTCACAGAACATACGATTATGTTCAAAGCATGAACCTGGATATGACACTTAACCACCTGCATTTACTACATAAAAGCTTATGAAGTATTTTATATTAACACCACGTGGAAATATTTTTATCTATAATGTTAATAATATAATATTTTTAATGAAAGATTTTTGCTCAATAACGAATAGGTAATAAGTAAACTTTATTACCTATTAATTAGTGACGTTTAAATTTATAACATCAAATCTGCCTTAGGATAATCAAGCCTAAACAGAGATGTATTCAAGAATTATAACTAAAAAGTAAAGAACAGAACAATTGTAACTAAAAAGGAGGTAAGTTTATACTGAAGTGGTGGTTCTCCTTCATTTTTATATTTTTTCTGCCATAAATCCCCAAAGCGTATGTGTAACGACGGCCGGCCAGGCCTTTATCAGGCGATCGTGACAACGGTGCGGACATAATGAAAACGGTGACATCACCCTCGACACGATCCAATAGCCATATGGATAGTGCTACGGCAACACGAAAAAGGCGATGCTCGTCTAAAACTGTAATAAAAGAAGCAATGACCAAAAACCGCTCTCCGCTACACCCAAAGGAATCGACCACGAAACGACCATATAAATACCGCGCTTGAGAATTTTATATCGATTCAAGTGGTGCCAAATCAGAGACATTTAAACATTTCCCGTTCGTTTTATATATTCTATACGGTCATGTAAAAGAGTTAGAGATGTTAATAAAGACGCTCCAAACATTGTGACACTTTCTCAGAAACGTCCGATAGTGATAAAGATAATTAATTTGTGGCTACAAAAATGCCGCCATCAATTTATGGTTGATACGGATTGTCATCAAATGGCGCGAAGTAGAGCCGTTAGAGAATTAGTAGTTAAACTGTACCAGCAAAAAGTTAGAACCTTTACCATTTATATAATTTTTAACGTTAATAAGCCAGCTAGTCCATGATGAAAATTCAATAATTTAACATAACTGTGTTTAATACCTAGCGGGCTAGACTTCAGTTTATCATCATTCCATACTGTTTAAATCCAATCAAAATCCAAAAGGCCTATGTTCAGGTCACCTCCATAGACTATATTATACCGAACGTGACCGGGCGGATGGTCGGCCTCTCTCTGTACTCTGTACTATAACTGTGTTATAGAAACTTTTGCTCGCGAAAAGCTTAATAACAAAAACGGAACATTTTTGGAATTCGACTCTGCGACCACAAATCGTGAGTCATTAGGCCACGCCTCGATTTTAAAAAAAATCCTTAGTTATTATAAAGCTTATGCAATACGCAAAGAAAGGTTGGAATATTGTGACAGTTGCAGACTTACATGACTGTATCCGAGTCTACTAAATACGATTTCAGATGTATATATTTTCGATAGCGGATTGCGTTAGTATCCTTACTAATATTATAAAGGAGTAAGTTTGTATGTATGGATGGATGTTTGTTACTCTTTCACGCAAATACTAATGAATGGATTTTAATGAAACTTTACCATAATATAGGTTATACATCAGAATAAGACATAGGCTATAATTTATATACATATTTTACGTATCTCTATACCTATTTTATATCTATACATATTTGACGTATCTGTCTTTATGTCTGAATTTTACGACTTCAGCCTTTTCTACGCAGACGTAGTCGCGGGCAGCAGCTAGTAATAATATTAAGTTATAATATAATCTCTTTGGCTATACCATTTGTATCTGGCTGGTTTTGGTATCATAAAAAGTTTAAATATTAAAAAAGATAATTCCAAATTCAAATTAAGAAAATGTGTGATTTGCATTTGTTTTTCTTACTATTAAGATGAGTGATTCTAATCAAGAAATTCGATACATTTAAAAATTTTACTACAAAAAGGTAAAAATGCAACGCAAGCCGCGAAAAAATTTGTGATTTTTATGGACCTAGTACAGTGTCTGTGAGAGTAGCAGAAATTTGATTTAAACGTTTTTAATCCGGAATTTTTAATGTCAAAGATGCACCTCGCTCTGAGCGCCCTGTTACGGATAAAATGGATGCCATTTTTGAAAAAGTGGAGCAAGATCGACATATTAGTAGTTTCAATGTAGCCTAAGAACTGGGAATT